GCATGTGATTTGTGTCTTCATAGACAGAAAAAAAGTACTTTATTCTCTTTAAAGTAGAATAACATTGGAATGATAAGTTGTGCTTCATCCAAATAAACCAAAGATCCAACTCTACCAACCAACCAAGCTAAAATAACACAATAACGAAGCAAAATAAACCAACGGCCCAATATTACTATGCAAACCATGCCAAAAAAAATAGTCAGGCTAAAAAAATAACCAACCAATACAATCCATTGGAGAACCCCAATGGAAACCAAATAGTCAAGCCAAAAAAACCAACCAGCTAACATTATTATCCACAACCGAAAAACTCAAAGAAAATCAACTAGTAAAGCCGTAAGATGAATCAATCAATACTATCAGCTATAACAAGGGAATTTAAGAGAAAACTAACTAGCTAAAGCTAAAAAAAGTCAACCAGGCAACACTATTAGACACAAGCCCAGATCAAGAGAACTTAAGAGAAAAGAAACAAGTTAAGCTAAACAAACCAACCAGCCAACACCCCAAAATATCTTATATATGGTCTCAAATTTATATAAATGGTCTTCCAGATAAAAAAATCCTCACATTTGAGCTCAAAATTTTCCAATGATAATGCAACCAACTCTATCTAAATTAGTTATACAATAATTTGGTATGATTTGAAGGTATGAATTTAACTATGTGTTATTAATTTACCGATCAATTGACACCATAAAAAAAATTGAAAGCATAAAATATAAAACACTCATATATTCTCACGAGTCACAATTGACATATACAACAATATTCCAGATAACCAGTTGGGTCTCTATGGTTAGCTTAGATCATTGCTCAACCAAAAATACAAGCAAATGCAGAAAACATATGTCCAATTATATGACTAAATGAGAAGCAAGTGTAATGAGCATTCATTATCAAAAATACAAAAAATATGAGAATAAGAGAGCAAAAAAAATACATCCTAATACTAAATATCCAAATAATATAGTTGTTTGTGCTACAATAAAGGAATAATCCTAGCACCTTTACATTATAAAAAAAAAACAATATGAGAAAAAGAGTAAAAAGAAATAATCCATAATTAATTCAGTTCAAAATCCATTTGACGGCCCCAGGAGCTATCAACACTTTCATGTTAAATGAATTTAACTCACAATCTCCACATAAGTGTCAGGGTTACATATCGCTTTCGTAATAAAGCGCTCCACTTGAGTTTGGAATGTCAATCTCCACAGGGAATGTGGTAGTGGCTTCATAGTAATAACAACCTAAGGGTAAATTCTAGCCTACTACTTTCAGGTCCTTGTTTGGATGATCGCTAAATTTGGTTTTTCTAACAACTACTTCTATGTATATTTCTAACCCTAAGTTAAATTTACCTTGATCAATTAGACATGTCAAATTCAAGACTGATAAAGGTACTTTTCTCTTGTTATTTTCTAGGTAGATTTTAGTTTTAATACTAAGAATTGTAATGTGGTATTGACAACAGGAGCATAAGTCTCATTTACCCTCTTTCGAGTACATAAATGAGTATGATTCAAATTTAAGTAATTGTTTCCGTCTGCCATCAATGAAACTCCTAATTTAAAAGTATCGACACGCATCTCCCTAAGTTGCATTGCCACATGACTCATCTTTCATAATCATTCGCACAATGTGAATATTCTATGCTGTTTGGCCATCGCTCTTTTGTGTCCTAGTGGTTTACAACAAATTTTAACAAGTTATATGTCCAGTACAACATGTAAAGTAAGTCTAGAGATATACTCATCACAAGAAAATAAATATCAATTCAAAGCATCCACAACCCTACAAATCTAACCTATCTTTCACAAGAGAAAAGTTATAAGAAATTTACTCACTACACATGATAAACACCAAAGGAAACTTCATTCAATCCATGCAAATTAACCAAATATTTGTTCACAACAATAATCAAATAAGATTACACATGATACTTAGCTTTTTTCCTCTAAAAAGAGAAGCAAATTTCACTAGACGATGTTTTCCATAGTGCTACACAAGATGTTGTTGTAAACCCCTTATAGATTCTCTCAAATTCTTCTCTAAAATCTCTCCAGAACAAAAGTTCCTACTCCTACCTACTGTCCTTGGAGAATTCCAAGAGAACTTCTTCCCAACTTTTAAGATTGCCAAAATTATCCGGATGAACCATCAACATCCGTAAAATAGGTGCCCAGTCTGCGGCCCCTAAGTGACGTGCTCTCTGTCTGCTTGAAAATCTTGGGCACCTAGGTGCCCAGAACCTGGTGCCAAGGTGTTCTACTACAACACCTTGGAGCCCAAAAGTGGGCGCCTAGGCACCAGACCACTATCAGGACCTTTGCTCAACTTGGTTCTGTTTCGCTCCGATTCAGTCCAAATTCGTTCCAATGCTCATACATGTCATACCTACATCATAAAAATAAAAATATCTTCCCTTAAAGAGCAGTGTCATTCAAAAGCATCTGTAAAACAAAGAAGAAATTAATTATATTCAAAGACATATCACCAATCAACATTTGAGTTTATTCAATGTTCTTAGAAATCTTCAAACAACTACAAAAACCGAAAACCAAATAAGATGTACAGTTTGGAAATGAAATTGAAAATTTAAAGTATAAAATTTAAATGCATGGAAAAGTAAATTTTAAGAGAAGGAAGTTACTGAATAAACCAAAAGAAAAGAGTGAGGTCAAAGAGATAGAGATCAAACAATGAGCAAACGATAAAATGACAGACGCAGGACTTGATTGAGTGGTGATTCCTCTCATAAGGTTAGGTTTCAAAAAGGGAAGATGAGAAACCTCAGAAGTCCAATATAGAGCAGGCGAAACAAATTTGGGAGTGAGTCGAGACTTGAGCTAGTGTTGAAGAATGAAAAAGATTTAGCAAACCTTTTTTAATCCTTCCATCCGCGTTTTGTGACACACGGGGGTGGATGTCAGCCATCTGCTTGGATCGCTCATTTATTTTCAATCCAATAGTCACGTATTAGATTCAATTCACCAACCTCTCCAAATCGGATCGAAAATAATTTGATGCAAAGAATTGTCTTGTAGCATGGTCGATTCGAGATTAACTTTGTATGAATTTTTGAGTAGCAATCTTCAAGCTATTTTCAGAGCCGAAGGTGTAACGGTGAGGAACCTAAAGTATAGCAGAACAGCAAACATCGCTTTTGATTAATGAAGCATTTACTACTTGGACCCCACCATCTTTCAGCTCAATCTGATTTAGAAACCACATGGAGAGATTCGATTGCTTTTTGCTCGCTGTTCTGCGTAACAGATATTAGAATTGGCAGAAGCCGCTGTACTCAGATACGGCGCTCTGAATCCTAACCTACCCGTCTCCTTCCCATTCGTCCTCTTCCATAAACAGAAAGCCACTAAATCTAAAAGTAATTAACCACACTGCCACGCATCACTCCTGGTGTAATTAATAAAAAAGCGAAGGGGAGATACCGCAGCCATAACAAGGCGTGAAATGTGAACGAGGAACGAGGAACGAGGAAGCTGCGAACTAGCTTCGTGGTGTCCGGGCACCGCGCGCATCTCAAGAAATTTATCCACATTTTTTGGTATCATCAGGCACGAATCATAAAGATCTACATGATTAAAAATAGCCCTTGAGGCATATTACATGGAACACCCTTTGCTTATTAAAATTAACCTACGATCACATTTGTTTTAGTTATAGCTTGGTCAGATTTACTTTCAAGCATGCCGATGATAGTTGATATTACTAAGAATATTTTAATTTGCCTTCGCAAATGTTTAGTGAAGAATACAAAAGTGATGATAGATTTTCATCTTATGCTTCTTCCTTACAAAGTGGTAGGCTGCAAAAGCAATTAAGGTAACTAATATTTACTCGTACTTTCTTAAGACTTAATATGCTATTAAATCTTAAATTTTAATCGTGTAGGTAACCATTTCAAGCTTTTGCATGATACATTCACAATATTACAATTTTTATTTTAGTCTTATTATCCCGTGTCTCATTCCCATAAGTTGGTGAAGACTTCGAATGAGAAAATATTATATCAAGAAACCTGATGCAAAAAAGCATAGGGCACCTTGCATTAAATTATTTAATTTATTTTTATTATGTGGGGTGGACATTACATGTGGCGGGTAGTGATTGGAGTCCTGATGCATTTTTATCTCAGAACTCCTGATGTAATATTTTTTTCTTGAGCATGTGTGCTAATTGATCAAAATTAATCACATAATATTTAAACTTCAACTAAATATCTCATAAGTGAATTTTAATAAATTTCTTAAGAGTAAAGCCACTTTATTCTTATTTTTAACTTATTGTAATCAATCAAATACAATAATCTTTTGTATGATTGGTTAAATCAATATATTTACTAAAAATATGATTAAAAACATACCTCTAATTGTCAAAATAACAAAACATATAACCAAAATTTATTTTCTTAAGAAAAAAAAACAAAAAGAAATTTTATTTGTAATCAAAAGAAGAAAACCTTAAAATAAAGTGTTCCAAGCCAATTTTTCATAAAAATGAGTCACAAAACATTAAATTCACTTTGAGCTGAATATAAAACAGAAATAATCAATTAAAAAATTATGTCCTATTTATTCAAATTTAATCCATCAACTTAAATTTAACTCTAATTAAAACTTTTTAATAATTTTTTTCACTTTTATTTTTCTTATAAACTTAGTTTCATTTGAGTAAAATTTTTTATAAAGATTTTTTTCACATACAAACTCACTTAATCCAAGTCTCCTCAGCAAAATCTCATGGACAACGACAAAGTTACACAAGAGCATCCATGACCAGGCTAACCATACCTGGACCATACACCGGATCAGTAAGTCCCGGCAATTTCCACAACAACTTAACTCAGCTCAACTTTCCGCAGGTTAAAACCTAAAGTTAACTTTTTGTCCGGTAAAAATAGCAGCGACAGAATCCAGTAATTTCATGCATTATATAAGCATTCAAATCTCGTCCCGTCCTTAGCTCAGCCTAATTAGTTAGTTCATGCAGGAGACAGACAACCATCAAATCATGATGCTGGACTACGAATGGGCCAATCCCGCCGCCGCAGCGGCAGCCGCAA